AAAAAAGTCTTCGAAGTAAACATTTGGTTTGGCTTTCCGATAAATTCAATTTGCACAATTCATTCTAGAACTAAGCGGGTGCCTTAGGCTCTACCCGCTTACATCGATCAATTATCTTTGTATTTGTTTCTTTAAATATCAATCCAGGGTCTGCAGAATTAAGCAAACTATAACATTTCATTATGAGTAGCCATTCTGGAAACAATTCTGTTCCGGTTTACAATGTTTTACAAATCATTCTATAGCAGATCCAAAAAACAACAGAACTGTAGTCGAATTAATTTTTTTTTCCGTCAAGTAATAATTTACCTTTGAATGCTGCTCAGTAATATTGGCTGGCTTAAATGCATCCACATGATTCAGAATCAAGCAAGACGTAGACTAAGCAGAAAGCTTGTATGAATGCGTATGTATATATGTTGTAAATACGCATTTTTTTGAATCGATAAGGTACAAACTCTGCACACATATTACGTGTCGGACACCGGCGTGTCAAACAGGCTATTTTTTACAGCAGTTAGTCGTCTGATTGCGTTGATATGCGTGCTGGCCAAATTAGGTCGCTTTAAAATGAAGTAATTTAGACGTTATCAGACCAAGCAAGATCGTGCAAATATAATATATATATATATATATTCTAAATTTGATTATGTTGAAGGGAATAGTTGCTCAAATTAATTAATAATTCAGAGTACAAAGATAATCGCTATAACGGCCTTTTTGCTGGCAAAGGGAACCAAATTATGACACTAACATATTCGTTTGCATTTGAAGGAAGAAGGGAAAAGATATAAATTTATTGAAAGTGTCATGTAGCAGACATCTGAGCATTCAGCTGCACTGATCGGCTGATCACAAAAAATGTAGGCCACGTAATTGGCACCGGTAAGGGAACGGCTGAAGGGCTTCATAACACACACTTGCACTAACAGTTTCTTTCTAAAATTGTAATGTACATCAGCAATTTGCTTGGTGTAATTGTTTATTTGTGAATGCTGCTCAATAATCTAATCAAGGCCTCAAACATAAGATTCAGGCAAGAGGAAAGTTGATATAGCGAAAATGAATGTGGATGTAAATACCAGAATGCTCGTAGTACCGTAGAGACTCTATACAACCGAGCAAAGTCGGACATGCTAACACCTTTACTTAGCGATGATATTGAATTACGAGTTTTGCGAACAAGTTCTTTACGTAAAAATGTACTTATGTATTTATTAATCACTAACAAACTAATTAGAACAGATTATGTGAGCAAATATCGTTTTTAAATGGATGTAGCTGGAATGGAGCGGTTGCTCCTTTGACAAATAGAAGAAAAGCAAGATATTTACACAAATTAGTTTTTTTTTGTTAACAGTTAAGAAAACGAGCGAGAAAGCTTGGAGATAAGAGCAACTCAGAATGATAATATTAGCAGTTCCATGAGTTGTCAAGTGCATTTTATAGCTACGTCATCAACTGATGCCGGGTGTAGACGGGTTTGTCAGCGGGAGACGGCCTTCTGAACCGCTCTAACGTCTCGCCTACCCCTCTGATTGATCGGGTTGGGAGTACACATGGAGTTTCCAACGCCTCGCCGCCTTCCCCTATGGTAAATACTACGGCAAATAATTAGACAAGAAAGCGCGCCCTAAAAAAACCATCCCCTTCAGCGTCGACTCCGACTGCTTCCATCACTTTATATCTTGACAAGGTCAAAATTAAGTGAATAAACTGAAGATGGAATGAATGTGAGTAGTGATATCAATAAGGGGAGTAAGGCGCAGCTCCAACAAAGATTCATTCAAACTATCCTGTAAAATGCTATATTTGAGTACTTTGTGTGAATCCCTTCCATTGCTCTTGGCTTGCGTTCTATGGAGTCAAAAGCCTTTCCATAGTAGTGATGCGCAAACTAGAACTTCGCACTCGAAATAATACTCCCTCTGGGACTTCTCTAACTAATTACTTGCTTCAGGGAGAGACGTTGGGAAGTCTACTACGTCGCCGTTCATCTTGCACTGATTGGTCGGTGAGTGTGGGCGGGTCACCAAGCGGTTCAAAGGGGCCTACATTGCCAGCTAGTATACTATTCTTGACTTACGCGTGGAATATATTCGTAAACATCTACGATGGAACTGCAGGGGAGCTAATTAACACTCTTGCTGTACAGGAGCGGTCATAATTGACTTTAGCAATTTGTGCATAATTGGATCTTAGCCTTACATTATTTCACCAAATTTAGTAAAACTATTTAAATAGTTCATTTGTAACTCCTTTTACATAACCAAAGTATTGCGTTGCTATTATTCAGTTGTTATAGTTAAATTTTGACATGCTAAGATAACTCAAGATTTAAGGAAGCGGTTCGTGAGTTCTTGTCAAACAATAATTTCATGGTTGATGGGATAAAGTTGAAGAATTCTTGTACTTTGGACGACGAAGCATCTTTGGAAAAGCTAGCTCTGTAATGCAGCATTGATGAAGTAGGACAGACGCAAATGAACTGTGCACTGCAGAGGGTGGACTGGTCATCACGGGCTCCTACTCAATAAAGTCAAGATCCTCCTCTCATAAGATCTTTTTTTCGCTGTTCATTCAAACGAATATCACAGCGATGATGTTGTTTCCTTCCCCCCTCCTCTTTCCCTCTCCTTCCCTCTTCCAATAAAGATGTTCATGCTTCAGCCCTTAGAAATTGTCTAATAAACTTGTCTACTGTTGTTCTCGATTGAATGTGATCGATTCTGCTTTAATTATCATTACTTATAATAAAGCGCTAAGTTTGCCTATATGTGCGTGTGTGTGCGCATTTCTATATCTGTCATGAAACCACTTCATTTGCCCCAAAAAAGTCCAAGAGCAGTTATCTCGTTATCTGCTAACAGCACAGCACTAATAAGTAAACGTGAGCAATTTCATTGCGAGAACGTAGTAAGGTGGTTGTTTATTTCGTGTTGCCTTGGCAGAGCGGTGGGATCAGATGGCCTCTGCTACTTTTCCTTCAAAATGTCGTCAAAAGGTAAGATCGAGTTATCAACAATTTTTTATTACACGAACAGCGCGGACCTTCCCGAAAGAGAGTTGAAGCACTCGTTTACTACAAACCATTTATTTAGCCCCTAAACTGAGCGTTCATTTCCCAAGAACAATTTCACAAATTTCTTACTTTTTTACTTCTTCTATTTTGCTCTTATCGCTTGCAAATGCATGCTCCAGAAACAAATGGCACCTAGCATCTGTATATACTACCCTCTTTAGCACATAGTCACTTGATATATTCAATGTTTCCAAGTAGTTGATATGTAATCCTTGTTCTGAATAGCCTGTTTGGTACAGGCTTTTCGGAAGACGGATTCAACGCTCGTCTGCAGCCCTTCAGCAAGAATTATGACGTTAACCTCACTCCACTATGAAGGAAACGATGAACTAACTACTCTCCATCTTGATGATTCAACGTGACTTGTTGCCCAAATCTTCTGCAAAGGTCATTAATTCTAGGTCTCCGCATTCGACACAACAAACTTGGTGTTGCAACACCGTTACCGATCGTGTCATAATCAAGTATGTGCCACAACTTGGAAATGGCGAGTGACCATGACTGTTTTGGGTTCTAGCTTACCAGGTAGATTTGTTTGACGCCGACTGATAAGTAGATAACGCAGTGAAGAAGAAAAAAACTGCATTGTAGCTTCAAGTCTTGACAGCAGGTGGTGGAAAAGGCTATACTCTTTGCAAATTCTTTTATTTGAGTTCAGTTTCTCGTCCGTGGAGTAAGTCTTCTTACGTTTGCTCCTCGTTTATAGTCCCGTCTTCCTTTATAGGCCTATTTGTTTTTCTACAATAAGCTTTGGTAGTTCGCGTGCTTTCAGTAGTCTTTAGAGTAAGGCAGTAAGCGCCAAATTATAGTAATGTGTGCCATCTTATTGTTGGCAATAGTTGAACGTGCAGAATTACATAGCTAGGCTGAAACTGGCTAGAACGGTTGAACGAATATTGAAGCTAGAAGCAGTAGAGGATACATGCTGAGCATCATTGCTCTTCGGACCTTTGGATAAGTGTTCGACAGTGCAGAACACTCGAATCGCTAAAGTATAAATCGCTAGATTGTAATGCTTCCTCAAATTGTTACAGAAGTACGCTAGACGCTATGGAGGTTTTTGCTGGGACTCCTTCAGCAATAAAAACCTGATGCTGCGGAAATATTGCTATTAACAGCAGAGCAATTACCTAAGCATTCTTGACAATGTCGGAGATACAGCTAAAATCTAGCAAATCACCTTGCCAAATTGAGCTATCAAGTTATTGGAGTTAAACTAAGTGCTTGAAATTTACAAATTTTTTCAACATTGTGTTTGACTCTGTGCGCCTATGCACGCCGCGATGAGAGAGTAGAGTACTCGGTTTACATCAATAGCCGACTTCCAATGCCCACTCAACCTTGATCTTAATCACAATTCTGACCAAAAGCTAAATCCGTAATACGTCTGCCTTGCTATAACCTATTTGACCATCCTCAACGAAACATGCTGTATTCTGTTGCGCTAGTTGTTTCAGGCAGCAACGTAAGGCACGTTCCACGCGTCATTGAGTATGCAACTGCAGTGGCTCACAGGCAAACATTGAAAATCCCATCTCACATCAACTACTTATCTTTATTTGCGCTACGTTTGATGAGCTTCATTTGGAGCTATAAACATTATACAAAAATACTGTCAAACAAAGCGCCGCAAAGCCTATTTTCCTTCCTTTACTGACGTAATAGTAGCCGAAATAGAGAACTCCGCCCAGACTAGAAAAACGATCAAAGCGATGAATATTGAGATGATCCATACAGTAGCGATGACTGCAACAAAGTGAATTACTTTGAATTACTTAGCTATAGGAATATGACTGCGCAACATACTTAATGATGCACAACACAATGTGCCTTCGATTCTCAACAGAAAGTTCTGTGATTCGTAACGATCCCTTTTTCTCTTCATCTTCTTCTTCCTTTTCTTCTTCTTCTTGCTCTTCTTCTTTCCTGTTCCAGTAGAAGCACTTGTCTACAGAAACATCTTATTCCTCTGTCCACTGCGCTCAAAGCTGAGAAATACCTCAGTCCCAGTCTCTGAACCAGATGTTGCACCCGCCTTCTCTCTTTTAAGCTTGTGCACCAATTCCATCATATCAGCTTCCTTCGATGGCTTGCTTTCTTCTGGATCCACGGCCCCACTGAATTGCATGAGTTGCATATAAACAAAGGAATAGGTGTGAATGTTGAGCAGGCTTACGTGAAGGACACCGGATCATTGTCTACCACCATGCCGATTACAGATCACACCAGTACACTAGCTACCAAAGAAGCTTGAGCGATTACTATGAACCTCAAAATGAGAATGGGATGTATAGCAGAGTTAATATATACCAACGAGCTAACTGATAAATCAGTGATATGATTCGATACAACATCATTCCAATTTTTCGTTTTTAATGAACTTTATAATTAAGATGCCATCACTGTTCGAGAGATAGAAAGATGTTCAATCTTCCTTTGTATCTGTACTGTACGCATCTGAACATATGCCGTTGCTTATAATAGCGCCGCTTTGTCCCCAGGGTAAACCTTGAGGGGTATTAGGATGCATCTACGCTGGGCGCTCCGACAAGGCATGTTAATCACTGAACCCAAAAAGACAATTTTTAATCGGCCAAATAATTAGATACAAAGGAGCAAATCAAAGTCTAGGCCAAGCTTACTTGGCTTAAAGACCAGCTCCTCACTAGCAAAAAAAAAAGGCCAGGAAGATCAACATGGCACGCTGGCCAACGGGCCCCCTTTTTTCATATGAAGCTATCTACAGCGCTGAAACGCTGCGGATTTTATTGAATAGATTGGTCCTTGACAAGGAGGAATTAAACTTGTAACGTATACGAAATATGTTTGGGATTCATTGCTCTGATAGTAGGTAGCATCGCAACAATTCAGGTAAGCAGAGAATCATTACAGTCTCTCATCGACAAACTTCAAAATCAGCGTGACAGCTTCAGAAAATAAATAAAACGGAAACGGAAAAAGAGTTAGAGGAATTAGAAAAGGAAACGAGTTTAACGAGTGTATAGCAGAAGCAAACGAAATGACATTTATGTAAGCGCAAGGCTCACGGAAGCTAAAAAGTACAGGAGGTTGGCGCGAAAGCTAGGTATAACGGTGCCCTTTACCATTCAATTCAAGGCCTAGCGCAAAAAGTCACAAGTGCTGGAAGCAGTAAATCAGTAGTCCGAGTAGTAATCAATAGACCTCACTTATCCGAACGACGCTTTCTTATTATTCATTCAAAAGAGAACAAGTTCCAGAAAAAGAATATGTTATTTTTTATTTACGGAACACTAAAGCCCACGGCAGTGAGCTTTCCAAGGTTTTGGGAAGATGATGCAGAAAGCCCTGAGTTTTGGGCAGTGAACGAAGTGCTGGTTTAGAACAGAGCGCTTAGCACTGTTGAAAAAGATGCTTTTTTAAAAAGATAGCCTCAATTGACGAGCGAAAATGTCGATTAAGGGAGTTTAACTAATGCCGCAAAACTACATATGGATGACGTAATCTTTGAAAAATAAGGTACGGTTATAAACCAGTAAACAGAGCGGAAATTATGCTCATCGATCTCCCTTGTGCAAAAAACACCGCTAACGGATGCACACATTTTTGACAAAATTCGAATGCATCAATCCAATGGTATCCGCTAGCCAGCAGAGTTTGAATATGAAGGACGCAATGTGGACTGAGAAAGTTTTGGAAAAGTTCTCATACATTTTATGAAAAATGTTCTTCTTTCAAGGAAAAGAGAAGGTAAAATTGAAGACGTACTGGAACAACTCGAAAAAGAGGTTCTAAATTTGTGGAATCACGTCTGAAACATCGTTCTAAAGAAGATACGACATGTGAAACAGTTGCAAGCAATTAAGAAACCAGAACAGCGAAAAAAAGAAGAAGATGCACTTTGCAAGAGTTTCGAACAATTTTTTGATTGAATCCACAAATTCTTATACAAATCGCTATCAAAAATGCAGGAGATTCCCTGTTGAAGATACGAAAACAGGCTAAGAAATCTGGCGTGAATGAGCATGAAGCTTTACACACTATGAAATGCCAAGTTCATCGAAAGAACCAGGTGATGAGCAATTCTTGTCAACATGAGAAAGACCAGATAGTGATGACGCAGAAACAAGTATGTGCTATAAAAAAACGCCAAAATTCAAAAGAATTCTCCTATTTTTCGATACTAGTACAAAATATCTACGAAGAAACTGCAAGGTTTTGTACTTTGAAAGCAAAAAAGTGACGCATGCCTTAAGTCTGGTATTGGAAGCCATAAAAATTCAAGACTTTCTACATTGAGATGAAACAATCCACAGTCTTCGGCAAAGAAATGGAAATGACATTCAAGCAAAGTCTATAATTACAAGATATTACCCATACGCACATCTTTTGAAGCAGGAAGGGTGGTAGTAATCCCCCTAAATTTGTTAGAACAAGAGAGCCACATGACAGCTCCGAGCATGGCATGAGATAGCCACAACTGGCATAAGGTTTTTCAATAGGTTTGAGGATTGACGCAAAACATGCACCCGACTAGTCACCGAACTTGCGTTGAGCGAGCGTCAACGGCGCTCATAACGATTGATACCAACAACAAACGCTACCCCATAAACATTGAAAGCATGACCTAATACCATTTTTTGCAAAAGAGGAGTGCTTCCGCATTAGTAATAGCAAGTGTTACAATATGTATACTAGTGATTTAGGAAAATATTGGTCTGCTTGGCGTGTCCAGGCATATTCACCTTCCTTCAATTCAAGGTTTCAAATCCTTATTCTTATTACTTCCTTAACTTCATTAAGCCATGGAATGGCATTTTAAAAAGAGCTTTATATAGATACCATCTTATATAAATGTCGTTGTAAAGTTTTTGATGTTCAGTTCTTTAGCTGGAAGTATATAAAATACCAAATTGCGTACTGCGTTGTTTTGGTCTATTTGATCTACCAAAGCATGAGTCCACAGAATCAACGCATTTGCACACATATGAGAATGTGAAAAACTAGGCAAGAAAAACAACTTGGAACCAAAAAAAATCGATAAACCAGATTTGTCAATAGGTGGTCTGTTTCTTAACATCTTTGCTGTCATCTAAGGTGAGTATTGCTGTCGTACTCTGGTGGTGTTTCAACTTTCTTCCAATTGAATGTTATCCTGAGCTTTTTGTTGGCCTCTGAGAGAACAGGTTGCTTATGTACTCGACTTTCCAGGCTCTGACGAAGGCGAAACCGCCGAAACGTTA